GAATGCCTACTTTCATCAATGTTATAACATGATAGTTGAAACCATTACTGCCAAGGTCAAAACGCTCACCCAATTGCGTGCCAGATCCAGAATGCTTTGTCTTGTCACTCCTGGAAGGATGATGCCATCTAAAGGTGGGGTTGCCAGTTCATCTTCTGTCAAGTGCAAAAGAAATAGAAACAGCGGTTAAAAAACAAGCAAAGAAACAAAAATAAAGTTTACTGATATTAAATCAGACATGAAAATTAAAAAGAAGTCGAATGATATCAGAAACGTTCCCTATTCAGTAAGATGCAACACTTATCAGAGTTCTATAAGAACACAAGTTACACAAATTCAATTCCAATAAGTTGTTGAGTGTTTGGAACCTTCTGAGTACACTTCAGTGGGTGGGGAAGAAACATACTTAATACATTAAAAAATACATGGCTAAAGCCTAGTAGTAGGTTTTATTCCTCAGTGTATTATGGATTCACTATATAACTACTGGGAACCATTGAATAGCTCAGTCTTCAAATTCAGAGTAGAGAGGCACAAGGGCAAGCCATGCCTAATAATCCCAAGGCAGTTTATGACTTTCCTGGAACTGCTTTACTTCATTTACAAATCATTCACTGAATTTAGGTTCAGTATAGCTACGTGGTAGCACTAATATGAAACACCTACCAGAAATTTTGAGGCCCATTTATTGAACAGGCAAAGCAGTGGAAACCATGCCAAATGCATCTTGAGAGGAGACTTTCTTAATGATCTTTTGTCTTAGTCTAGACATCCTTTTTCCGCCCTAATTTTCTCTTTACACAAGAAGAGCAGTGCTAATAAAATTCCAAAAGCACTAACAATTCAAATTGTTCAACTAGTTTGGTTTGTTAGCCTGTTTTTCTTGTTTGCTTTTGAAAAAGAACATTAGATAAATGTTCATCAAATATAACTAATGAAACGGTAAATAAATGGTAATCCATACTTGGTAAATACTTAAATTACAACACGAAAGTCTGTATGTAGTCTTTGTTCTTCCATCTGACCTCTGTAGCAAATTGGAGTTAATCTTTTTAATTTTAAGCCATCACTTTCATTTTAAACCACCACATAGCATACTCAATGGTTTCTATTATTAGAGATTACTGAGCATTTACTCTTTCAGACAGCCAGGCTCTTTTAAGATAGTCTCAAATTTGCACTGAGAAGTGGCGACATCCACAGCCTTTCAGTAATACTCTTCATATTTTTTTTCTAACCATTTTCTCTTCCCAGTGAGAATCCATTCTCTTTCTTGATCTTATAAGGATACTATCCTGCTCATTAAATCCACAAACCATTAAGGTTTTTGATTCATTTTTACCTAGATTACATAAAAGAACAAGATATGTATCTTCATTTTTTTATTATGACTCCTTTTCCCTACCCGCAAAAGATTGCTGAATCCAGGCCTGCTTGAAGCAGTCTCAAAGGAGAAGCTGTCTTAAAAATGTTTCTATAGGTCCTGTGAAAACTTGCAGCTGGATAGAAGAGACAAACACGGTATTCATCCTTGGACTGAGAGACCAGGTTGAGCTCATCTGCTTAATACTCTGTTTTCAACAGTCAGCTAGAAAATTCTGTGCACAAACACTGCCTGCCAGCCAGTGCATACACAGCTCCAGACTGACTACAGCATGGGCTCTCTCCCACTCTGCAAGAGAGGGATTTGCGAGCTGGGGTGGGATAGGGGAAATGGAGGATAAATAAATGGAATAGTTCATTGAATCTGCTACTCACTGCCCGTTCTCTCAAGAAACATCTGTCACTTTCTAATGCAGCCACCCCTGCATTTATTCATTTGGACTAGAAGCTTTTCCTACCTATGCTTCCATGTTCCTTTTATGAGGATCCATACACACGTAAGTAATAGATGTAAACTGCCACACCAAAATGTATAAAAAAGCTGCCCTAGAACAGCCTATATATTCTGCTCTGGTTTGATTAACCAATAGTGCCATTCCCTAACCTATCCCAGACACAGTACAGCAGTGGCCTCTTCTTTTTCACACAGTTAGGCACAATAGCTTTCCTTTTTTGGAGTCTGTCTCCTATTTGCAAAGCATATCTGGTCCTAATTCTGGCACATCTCTCAAAAGAAGAGGACTTAAAAACCTTCCATGAGCCACAGAGCTCACCTGATTCTGAACACTGAAAACCTGATGTTCTGCATTTGTGACCCAGTCACATACAAGTGCTTCCCTTTCTCTAACAGAAAACTTCAAATAATGTGGACCTTAATACCAAAGATTGTGACTACACACCAGATAATGTTCTCTATTTGGTGATGTTGCCACAGATCTTGGCCAGGACCTGTTTAAGCTCAACAACATATATTAATTAATTTGAGCTAGTTTGAAAAGGTGCCAGGCCAAACCAGCCACCAAACAGCACTGAGCAGACAGGACATGGGAGTCTCAAAACGTTTCAAACAGCCTGCTCTGCAGAATTTTGTCAAGTATACATATGATGCCTACCAGCCTGGGGCCACCCAAGGAACATCTGCTCCCCTGGTATCCGGCAGAGATGATAATGCTATACAAGACGGCATGCCAAAAAGCTCATCCTCTCTGTGAATTGACGCCAAACCAGGCTCCACATGACATCAGTTTGTCCATCTCCAAAAAAACAGACTGTGAGCTCACAGACTCCATTTGCCTTCCGAATTATTTTGATGGGCTAGAAGCCTTAAAACGTATAGTAGCTAAAAGGGGAGGAAAGGCATTTGAAGGAAAATGTCAGGGTTTCTCTTAAGTTAACTACTGTTATTGTTATAGTAGTAGCACTATCAGTCCAGCGCTCATTTGCACCAGGCATGGTATAGGAATGCTGTAACAAAGGAACTACCTCAGAGTGTTTAAAGGGATTTATAAAATGTGGTCTTGCATATTACACAGCTTTAATTTTTAAACACCCGTATTTATGAACACAGAGCAGATAAAATTCCAAACATGGGATGTCTTCAGTACTAGTCACACTATAACAATGCTGAGAAATTCACCAAAATATACTTTACCAAAATGGTAGCAGATATAAAGTGAACTTCCAGGTCAGGGAGAACCCAGGAAACCCTGATTTCGCTATTATTAACAGCTGACTTCCTCTCCTGGTTTGCTCTGGACCTTTCTGTTTCTTTCTCTTTATTTCCCTCGGGTTTTTATTCTACTCTCCCTCATGTAATCACTCTGTCTTTGCGTATCTGTCAATTTACTTTCCTCAATCACTTTCCCCTTCTCTTCTTTGTCTGCCATCTCATTCATCTGCTGCTCTCCCCTCCGTGCTACTGTAATGGCTTTCTATTAGAGCAGAAGGTACGACCCTTGTTTTGTTAGTAGTCTACTTGTACTGCTGCACAAATAATCCTCCATCTACAGAACACTAAACAAATGTGCCTGACTGTTCCAGAGAATCTTTTAATGTATTTATTTTTTAATTTATGTGAGCCATTTTGAAGTGGGGACTATTAATCCCCATTTTAATGACAGCACAAAAATATTAAGTTCAATAATTAAACTTAAGCCTGAATGGTATTCACAATGCCTTAACATTAAAGCTAGAAGTAGAGCTCAGATGGTTCCAAATCATTCTGAAGAAACTGAATTTTTGGAAAGTGCACACAGATTTCATAGTTAGCAACCTTCAGGTTGGACATATGTTTAAATTTTAAGGTTTTCTGTGAAGTCAAGCTTATATTCTAGGCAGAAGAACAAACATTATTAAAGGAAACAAGTCTCGATGTTAACAGCTTCTTGGGATTGTTGAAGAGGCAGGTGCAAGGGATGGTAGTGTGACCAAAATTTTCACTTTGTGAACATAAACTGTAAAAAGAATTTGATGAATGAAATATCACACTCCTGTATTTATGCAACAGCAGGGATCCAGATTTGCTCATGTTATAAACCTCAGCCAGAGCAACAGTGGGCATACAAGAGCAGCACAGAGCATGTCATGTTATTTTCCCCCATGAGTATTTTCCTCCTCTACTCCCTCCTTGATGTCACAAATGAAATATTTTTCCAGGCTCCTCCTGCAGCCCAAGACAACACGTCATGTTTAGTCACAATGCTGTAACTGCAAATATATAGCAATGGCTTGCAAGAAAAGCCTAGTCTCACTGGAAGCATGATGTCCTTTAGTCTAGGCTTTACTGGGCTGGGTGTTTGATTTGTTATAAACCAGAGAGAGCAGTTCAGACTACTCCGCAGTGACCTCTGAACACACAAAGAAGGACATTTTCCTTTTGATGATGATCTGCAATTTCTGCCTCACTATTTTATGTTAGAACCCTCTCTCAGCTGCAGAATTTGCATAACAAAACAAAACCACAGCCTAAGAAGTATCCTTTGTGAAGTGACAGAACATAATGGCAAACACTTTTTAAATCACAATGTAAAGCCATAGGCAGGTATGTGATGACACACATTGGCAGCAGGAGTGATTCTCAACCAAAGATATCATACATTAAGCATTAATCAACACACCGGGAGACAGCAAAGTGCTCCAATGATGCTAATGACCATGTCGTGTGAAATGGCAGGTTTGCCAGTATACAGTTAGCTTGGGTGGCATGAATTACAAGTTGTTTGCTACGGCCACCTCACAATAGTACTATTCAGTAGTGCACTGGTAACACAGTGATTGGCAGATCTTTGGAACAGTACAGTGCTGCAGCTGGATAATTCCAGCATATTTCTGGTTTAAGTACAATGAGAACATTGAATTCTAATTATGTCCCCCCTTCAGTGTCTTTTTCCTGGGCAGAATGAGCCAAAATCTATTTTCGTGTCTCTCCAGTGAAGTTACACAAGGCGTGAATTTGGCCATCTAGTTACACTAACAAACCTATTGCTGCTATAACAACAACCACAAGATTTCTTGTATTTATAGTTTCATTCACAAGATTCACAGACTCATTCAACACTGAGGCAGTATCATCCCTCTTCTTACAAAAATGGTGAAGATTTTACAGAAGAACAAGTGATGAAACTGGAGATGGGAGTCAGGTGGCTGGATTCCCATTGCCCTACACTATCAAAGCACACTGCTGTCCCCACAGAATGTTGTCTCTGTACTGCAGCTGGGCACCGTCAGTTTTCAAGGGTACCCATGTCACTGTGATGAAATCAGAGTCTGAATGCTGCATCTGCTGCAAATTCAACAATACTTAATTTTTATGAAGGGCCAACACTCATGGAAATCAGGTGTCTTGAATAATAATAATAATAATAATAATAATAATAATAATAATTCACTTCCCTATACACTGGTTCAATCCTTTAAGGACTCAAGTCATGCAGTTTCCCAAACCAGTTCTCAGGTGCAGCTATCACTTCTCAAGCACCGAATACTTGCATGCCTAATGGGTATTTTTGAGATGCCTAAATATCTGGCTGCTCATTAACTAGATAGCTTTCTAATCAGCATGTATATTGCTCAGAGATGACTGTGGGTACAAAGAGATAAAAGTGGCTTCGAGAATGATGGTATATCTCGAAAGCATCATTTGAGCTCCAGTGATGTGGAATGCTGACTGCCATGTTTCTCTCTCTCTCTGCCTCCACTGAACAGAACTTACAATTCTTCAAAGAAAGAGCAGAGTTCTTCATCAGTTGGATGCTGAAATACTTTTAGCTATGCTTCAGGAACATTTGACTTGCCAGAAAGTGATGATGGGAACCAGTCATGCCCAAAACCACAGAGTCTGAAGAGTTAAACAGCCATGAGGTGTCTTTAGTATGCCTGCACTGTTTCTGTCCCAACACCTCCTTCAAGATCAAGCATGCTGCTAAAGTTCATACCAAACCTGCAGTGTGACCTTGTGTATGGCTAGACTCTACCCTTCTGAGCACACGGACTGGCCCAACAGTTTAGTACGTTATCAGTAGGTAGTACTCACAGCTGCTCCAGAATTTCCTCTTTCACAATAGTATAACTAACAGTCATCTATCAGTTTTCAGAAGAGAGTAGACATTTGCTTTATTAAGTCATCTTCATTAAAAATTTTATGATCTGCACTCTAAGAATGATTTTGTGGATTACGGTCCCAACTGTCTACTCTGTTAAAATGTTCCTGTTTTGTGTTACTATACCTCCATCTTCATTTATCCAGTAGAGAAACAGATTCATTGTTCCAACTTCAGTTATTTGGTGATCTTCTCCATAGAGCCACAAAACCTGCTGGCAGCCTAACTCCAGGGCTTCTTGCTGGGCATAAATAGAAGAACCATAATTCCTTCCAGAAACAAAGAGCAAACAGTTATGAGTATCTGGTTGGGTATTTTCTCATTTCTATGCAACATTTTGTGCACATCTACCTATCAGTAAGTGCTCTGCACAGTCACTGCTTGTCCCTGGAATATTTTTACTGGAAGTACTCTACTAGTATTTTACTAGATCAAGTGTGTCTACAACCCAAAAATTAAGGGCTGAACAGCATCAACAGCTCAAACATATCCATCCAAATTGTCTTAAAAATACCTTATTCCATTTTCTAGACATTCTAATCAGTTAGACACCAAGACATTCTAATGCAGTTGGACACCTTAGGAAAGCACTTATACTTATGTAGCAATTGCATTGTGGAGAGAACAGCAACTCCTGTCCAGCTCATGGTTTTAAAAAAAGCAAAACAAAACAATCTACCTCATCTCATGTATGTCAGACGAACCTCTTGGAACACAAAAATCATCAGAGGTGAGTTATTTAATATATATTATTATGAATATTTAATATATATTATTATGTGAATGTCTTTTTTATATATATATAAATATAAAAGACATTCACAGATCTGGTAGCTTCAGGAGCTGCAGATGGGCCTTGATATATTGCATGTCCTTGAGGAGCAACAGTTTTCCTAAAATGCTGCCTACAGAGTGAACCTGACTGAATAATATGTGTTTACTCTGTAGCTGCTTTGAGGTGGGGGGGTGGGAACCCTTTCGCTTCTGATGTTCAACAACCTTCAGGACACAAAGTCATCAGCTCCAAAGTGCTGAACACACTGGAGTTAATTTCTCACCTCTGGGCACAAATCAAGTCAGTAGTGACTCCAGACTATTCCTTTTTTCACAGCTGACATATGAAGGATGCACAGGAAACTATTAATGTATTTCTAAAACTAAGAAAAACTCACAGAGTAAATGTCTCAGAACATCAGACTGAATGAAGGAAAGCTGTTTTCTTGCCCTTTGATTATTCTACTAGCTCGGTTGAGGAGCACTTAACAACTACTAACTTCCTGCCTAGAAAAGAAATTCCCAGGTAGAGATAATAAGCTTCTTGTAAACCAAAGACCAAGGATGTATAATCAAGTCATTTATTTAACCACATCCAAGTTGCTTCCTCCAGTCAAGTCCTAAGCAGCTTCATTCTACAAGTCAAGTACTTGGATATTAACAATTGTCAGTCACCAACTTTTGCAAGGGGAACAGCCAAAGTATCACATGGACACCTTCCAGGTTCAGTTCCTCAGGTGAGATGCTGTGAAACTGCCTCTGCAAATAATGCACTTGGCTGTAATTTCCAAACAAAAATATGCTACTGAATTTTATAAATAATATTTGTAAAGTACAATTTTGAAATCTTTGTTACAGTACATTGTTTAACTGCAACATTTAATACCTCTACTTCTGCTGGATTAGATACTTCACTAAAAAACAAATCTACTTTGTGAGCTATGTAGAAGATGCAGAACTATGTTTTCTTACCCTCCCAGTTTGCAGTCCCCTGTTCCTCCTTTCCAGGCTCTTACATATTTTGGATCTGCCCATAAGGATATTGGATTAAAGCTTCCACTTGCAAAGTAAGGGCCCACAGGGCTCAGTATGACATACAGTAGGGCTCTAGTCGGTTTCTTCACTCCAAGGGAAGGCTGAAAATACGGAATGTAAACAAATTAAAAGTTACCGGTATACTTCACTCTGAACATCAGATGCTGCACAATTAGCTTTTGAAACACTGCTTTCAGAGGAACTGCAGCACAAGAGTGCTTTTACCAGGACAAAGCAAAGCGCTGCAATGAAGCGAAAATATTTATTTAACTTCCCCCCCTAGCCAAGAAACATAACAACCCTAATTTTATATACTGTCACCATTCACTTACAACTGTTTAATTTATCTATATATTATTCTAATCTTCTCAAATAGCTTCAAGCTTTTGAGAATTCAGAAATTACCTTAACATGATACTATATAGTTGTATGAATTAATCACAGCAGAAGCCTGCAAAGACTTATGGCGGGGGAGGAGTGGCAAGGACAACTTCTAGCAATAACAACAGTGGAGGAACCCCTGTCAGCTGCATTAGTGATGAGAATTAGCCAATGCCACTTAGAAGTGGCATTGGTAGAACTGAGTACTGGCTCTGTGAATGGCTGTGTGACGAGCTAAAAGGATTTGCCTGCTGGAAATGGTTCACACAACAGCACAGGAAATAACCTGGAATGTATCACCTCCTCTCTGAGAGATGGCTTCTCACACTTCAAGTCATCACCATCAATACTTGAAGGTGGAAGTGAAAAGTCTGGCACTGGTCAAAGTCTGAATCCTGTGGTAGGAGACTCTGCTTAACTATATGATTCTTAGCTAAGCTCAGGAACGACCACAGAATCACAGAATGATTGAGGTTGGAAGGCACCTCTGGAGATCACCTTG